GTTCCTGCCATTTGGCCTGTGTCCCCCTTTCTCTGCTCACTTCAGGCTATCTGCCTGCTCTAACGCTAATGTACCCTCGCCTGTCCTATCGTGGCCCTCTGGGGAAGCCTGGCTTGGTGCCTTGTCGTCACTTCAGCAGTGTTTTAGTGCTTGTGGTGTTTGGGGACGTGGCCCAGTGCTGTAAGTAATCCTCTGATTTACCCCAAGGTCTTTGGGCGCGGCCCATGTCATCTGAATGCCTAGGACAGTAAATCTTTTCTAACCAGTGTCTTCCTCCTTCTCCCCGCACCCCCACCCACCATGTCTCTGGTGGCAAAGCCTCCAAGTGCCGTGGTGTCTCCTGGCCGGATGCACGCATTTCAGCTTGTCTGCCTTCAGGCCTGTGCGCTGGTCTGCAAGTTGAGAGCCCTTCACAATTTTACCATTTAACTGCTTTGTGAAAAGGGAGCCTTTCTGCTTTCATTCCTTCTGTCACCGATCCTAAATCATTTGTCCAAAAGACAAAAGGATCTTTTACAGCTACTCATTATCGATCATAAATAAGGCTGCGGTTTAAATTTATCAAAGCCTTTTTGAGTGGCTGAGCTCACCTCTAATTTGGTGCAATTCAAGATTTTGCCATTTTTCAGTTTATGTTCCACACGGGGTCATTCAAGGAAATGTGTGAATTAATTTTGAAGTAAAAAGCCGGAAGTTTAAAGGTGTTTGTTTTGAGTCACAGCATAAAGCAAATTAGGCAGCTTTGACCTCTGTATTTCATCACTTTGGACCACATCACTATTTGTATTTTCACTCACCTTGAACAGGATAGAGACCACGTAAGGGGCGTATTTTTAAAGAATCAAGCTGTTTGGATAAACCAATTTCTAACAAAGACAGTCCCTTGCCTCTGTAGAGGACATTCCTCACACCACGGCCACAGCTGTTTGACTCAGTTACTAAGACGAGTTCTTAGCAAGTTCCTGCCCTGCTTAGAAACCTTTGATCAGTCTCCATTGCTTTTGTGATAAAGGCCCAACTCCTTAGCCAGCATTTCAAGGGGCCTCCCCGCTTAACCTCATGCCATTTCTCGAGCTGAAAACATGGCTGATTCCTCAGGGATGTTGCTCCCCTTCCTTCAAGGCCTGATCTCCCCCTCTCTGTGAGCCCTCCCTTGCCTCTCCCAGGCTGGACCCCTCCCGTAGCATCTCATGTGCCTTGCTTACAGCCTTACCATGCTCGCTCAGATTCCTCCCCTCTTTACTGAAGCATGTAACTGACAGATTGTCTGTATCCAAGGTAAACGACGTGAAGTTTTGATACACGTACACTTCGTGAAATGATTACCACAGTCAAGCTTATTAGCATTTCCATCATCTCACGTAGTTACCTTTTGTTGTATGTGTACGTGTACTGAGACAACTTAAAGTCTACTCTTCTGACAAAATTTTAAGTATACAATATCGTATTATTAACTACAGTGGTTGCCGGGGGTGGGGCCTGGAGAAGTGGGAAGATGTGCAACGTTTTGGTCGTGCAGGATGATTAAGTTTTGGAGATCTAGTGTACACCCTGGTGCCTGACTCAGCTTTAACTATTTGTCTTTCTCTGTCAGATCCTGGGCCCTCTGAGGAAGCCATTCCCAAGTCTGGCTAAGCAGCAGACTCGCCCGGGCAACCTGCTAAAAATACTAAGGTCCCTGAGTCCCAGACCAGACTCAGAGAGCTGGAATCTCTGGGAGGGGAGTCGAGGGGTCCATACATTTTAGAAGGTTTTCTGGGTGATTCGGACCAGCACGGAGGCTTGGACACCGCTGTTTCAGGACGAGCTGTGCATTTTCCCTGGGCCCACCTCAGTGAGAACAAGGAATGCGATGAGGCAGAGGGGTGAGGTACACGGAGGACTCGCTCTGTACCAGCTCCTGCCCTGGGAGCTTCTACGTCTGCACATCAAATCTCAGTGACCTCGAGAAACAGATGGTAGCAAACCCATTACTACAGATGAGAAAACCAGAGCTCAAGCAAGGGGTTAGGGCCCTTGTCCAAGGTCCCCACTGGTAACAGAACCAGCTTTGCTATCTTTTTAAGCTCAGATTCCTTTTACTTAACCCATGTACGTTTAATGTTAGTTAAAATAAATGAATATTCATAATTTTAGAATCTCTGTGTCTTGCTCCCCTGCATTCAATCAGCCTGCAAGACCCATCCACTCTGTCTGCCCATCTCCATTTTCTGCCACGTAGACGTCAGAAACAGCCTTGTAATTTGTCTCCGGCCATCTCCTGCCATTTCATCTCGAATCCGTTTTCCCAACTGTAGCCGAGTGATCATTTAAATCTCCACATGTGCCAAAGCCACTGCTTAAGGTAACTTTTACCACATATAAACTTTTCATATTTAATAGATTAATGTATTTTACCTTTGTGGCTTCAAAGTTTTCAGACTTGATCATGGGTGTTTAAGTGAGACTTCCCTGCCCTCAAGACTCCTAATGCAAATGACAATTTATTACAACGAATAAAGCGTTTGTATATAGCGACATAGGAAGGCAAACCTCAGAAAAATGAGTGCTAGGTCTCAGTAAGCAATTCACAGGAGAGGAAATTAAACTAATAAACAAATGAAAAGAAACCCGCAATCACTAAAGGTCAAAGAGGCAAAGTGATGTCACTCAGCACCCCCCAGATCAGAAAAAATTGAAAACAGCCATGACACACACTGCTGGCAGCCATGTGGGAGAAGTGTACTCTTGTACATTGCTGGTTCACGTGGGAGTTTGCACCAGCCCTTTTGGAAAGTGTTCTAGTAACATCAAAGTAGGAAGTGCAATGCTGTTTGTTCTAATTTCCCATTCCCGGGAAGCAATTTGCTTTCCAGCTCAAAACCACTAGAATAAAGGACCTGTGAACCAGCATATTCACTGCTGCATTGTTTCACTGGCAAAGACCTCGAAATAGCATGACTGTCTATCTCTTAAAGAATTGTTGACTTTATTATGGAATATCCACATCGTGGGACAATATGATCCCACTAAAAATATGACCTCGAAGCATTTGTATCAGGAACAGCTGAGTGAGGAAGGCAAGATGCAGAAAGATGTGGTATGTTCCTATTTGATAAATTGTTACCACATGAACACATTCATTCACACACAGTCCTTTAGATGTAGAGTATGCGTGAATGTGAATGTGTGTTGGTGTGTGTATGTGAGTTTGTGAGTGTATAACTGTGCATGAGTGTGTGTGTGTCTGTACGCGGCTATGTGAACACAGGAAAAAGTAAAGGAGAGCTCACACCAGGTTATTAACATGAGATGGGGGTACCAGGGTGGCTGAGGGTCGGGAAGGCAGAAAAAGGGAGGGAGCAAGCCCAGACAAGGGATAAAAGGCTAATAAAAACTATAATAAAAGTCATATGAACATGTATGATATGGTCATATTTATGCGCTTATCTAAAATTATATACAAAATCTGAAAAACTTAAAAATGCAAATCTTATCAGTTCATTTCTCTACCTGAAAATCTCCCAGTGGCTTCCTGATCCCCTTGGATCAGGTGCAGAAGCCTTAGCCTGGGCTCCGAGTCCCCTGTTCACCTCTCCACCCTCCTATGAAACAGCTGCCCTCCTCATTCTGTGTCACAGACGCATTTCCCAGTTCTTCGCCTCCCAGACCCCCAGGCGCCCTCCACCCTGCAGCCCTCCTGCTCCTCTTTGGTCCCTCACACATGCTGTTTCTTCCCTTCGGCATGACTCTTACTCACTTTTATAGGTCTCACTTAAACATCGGTTTCTTAGAGGGGCTTTCCCTTAACTTCAGCCATGATTAGGTGTTCCAATATTTATTCCCATGGTTCTCTGTCCTTCATAAAGTTCTCTTTTATTTTTAGCCTCTTTTTCCCAGATTTTGCTCAGATCTTCCTGGCTGTAATTCACCGCTTATTTGTTGCATCTGAATTGGATAAGGGCCTAAAGCAAAGACCTGAGCGCTGTACCCTGGATCTCACAGCCGTAGGGGTGTGGAATCCTCTCTCCAACACTCCTGCCACCCTGTGGCCCTGTCAGCCATAAGGATCCCCTTTCGTTTTCTGGGGACAGCAGTTCATGGCACCATATAGCATCTCTGAGTGCTGTGATGCCCCCCGCCCAGCACTGCCTGTGTCAGTCTTTGGGTCCCTCTGGCCGTGTGCGTTCCTTGGCTGCCTAGGGCCTCCCCCTCTGCTCCTGTCTCCAGTGAGGAATCCCCGGGCAGAGGAGCAGAGGAACCCTTGTGCCTGTGACTGGCAGACTCCTCCTGCCCTGAGACCACGATGCTGGTCTTGAAAGAGTCGGAAACTAACTAACAAAATGGCCTCCCTGATGCTAAAGCTGTTCGCTGATTCATTCTGACTTAACACTCGTGCAACTTTTCTCTGACAGATACCCGTCTCTGCTCCACTTGCTCAACTGATTTTGTGCTTAAACAGCCCCCCCTTTTCCATTATGCATTCTTTACCCAGAACAGCTTATCAGCTGTGTTCCAGAAAGGTGCTCACGGGCTGACAGTCTCAGAAGAATGAACAGACCCTCTGGAGTTTCTCTGTGATGCCAGGTGGATTCATCAAGATAAAGAAGACAGTACCTGGGAAAATGCCCTGATCGTTGTCACCTTTCTGTTCCGTCCAGTTTTTCTATAAAACCTCAGCACACCAACCCCAAGATGGATTCGCAGTCTGTAAGGCACAGCCTGCTATGACTCCCCTTCGTCTGGCAAAGCAATAAAGCTGCTCTTTTCTAATTCTTCCAAAACTATGTCTCCGAGTCCCAATTCAGCTATCGGGGCACAGAGGCTGGTTTCTTACAGAGACTAGGTAACACCCTGGCCCCAGGAGGAGGCTACAGTGAGAGTGACTTTAAATTCCAGAATGTGTCTAAGGGCAGCTGGAGCTGACACTTGCCGTAGCATCCGAGGACTAACTGAGGCAGGCATGAGGGAGTTAACACAGGGCACACGCCAGTGAGGGCACAGCAACCAAGTTTATTAAACATTACCTTGCTTTCACCACATTTTTTTCTAATTAAACATGTTTATGAAAAAAAAACCCAATTTATATGAAGAGAAAATAGGTTAGTTCATTTTCAAACCATATTGTTAATAAACTATTCTTTTCCTAATAACAGCTTAATTTCTGTAAGCAGTAGCATTTTTGTTTTCATGAAAAAGTGGGAACAGGGGGAAAAAAACAAAACATGCTGTGTAACTTTTTTTCCAGAAGACCTAGGGAAGCCAGTTGCCCGACAAGGTCATTGCCCCGGTAAGCTTGGATAAAACATCCAGGTTTCAAAATGAGAACAAAATGTGGAAACAAATTATACTACATGGATCTTTGAAACCTCGCAAGTGCTAATTCCAAGAGATTTCGATCTTAGATAACCCCAGCTGCACCTCCCATTGGCGGCCATCCGGCCCTCGGTGCAGAGAGGATTCGGCCGGATAACGATGTCCATTAGCACCGGGGGAGGGTTCACACGTAAATCCCCTCACAAATGGGAGAACAAATAGTGTCCTGCTTAGTAAGTCAATGTAGCGTGGGTGTTAGTTTATTCTCCTAGAAAAGTGCCCTTGGTGGCTTGTTGTCTTTGAAGTGGATGAGGCAGGAAGCTCTCAGCCCACTGTGTCTGACTGCTTTTCCTTCCCATCAGGATTGTCCAGCATCCTCAGCCTTTTCTCCAGTCTCTGCTTCCATTCTTCTCTGAGCCTGAGGAGGGGAAACAAGATTCATGGTTACACTCCACATCTGGTGGTCCCCAGTAAAGTTTTATTTTTTTCCTTCTGAAGATTATTCTTAAGAGCAACACATGGCTTTTTACAAATTGATGAAGAAAAAAAAAAAACTCAAGAGGGAAATGAGCAGTCAATGAACATATAGTTTTCTCTAAAATGTACACCTTCCTAAATTGATATATGGATTTAGTGTAATCTCAATCAAAATCTCAGCAGAACTATGCTGGAGACATCGACAAGCTGATGTTAAATTTTATATGGAAAGACGAAGTGGATTAGCCAAAGCAAATTTGAAATAGGGGAAGGGTGGAGGCCTCACACCATGTGATTTTTGAGATTAATATTAAGCTATCATCATCAAGACCGTATGGCACTGGGGAAGGAAAAAATAGATCAATGGGGCAGAATAGAGTCTAGAAATAAATACACGCAAATAAGAGTTGATTTTTGACAAGGGGCAGAGGCAACTCAATGAAGGAAGGTTTTTTTTTTTTTTTAGTAAATGGTCCTGGGACCCTATATCTCCATATTGAAAAATGGACTTTGGTTGAGGAGGAAGGTGTAGCTCAGTGGTAGATCACGTGCTTAGCATACACGAGGTCCTGGGTTCAATCCCTGGTACCTCCATTTAATAAATAAACAAACAAACAAACAAATAAATAAATAAACCTAATTACTTTCACCCAAAATAAAACAGGCAAAAGAAAAAAAAAAGGACTTTGATTCATATACCATATCTTTTACAAAATTAACTAAAAGTGGATCATAGACCTAAAGTGTAAAATGTAAGACTAAGACGTCAAAAAAAGAAAGCCACAAAATATTACTTTTGCGACCTTGGGATAAGGAAAAAAATCCTTGAGCAATACAAAAAGCATGATTCATAAAAGGAAATTTGGGACTGTAGCAAAATTGAACATTTGCTCTGTTAAGGATATTGTAAAGAAAATAAAAGACAAGTCAGAAGCAGGGAGAAAATGTTTGCCAGGCACAGATCTGACATGGGACTTCCTTACAGAATATATGAAGTTTCAAACATGGTAAGAAGATAAACAATATAATGGGCAAAATATCTGAACAGACATTTTCCTAAAGAAGTTACATGGGTGTCAAATAAACACATAAAATATGCTCTGCATAATTAGGAAAATGCAAATTAAAACCACCATGAGGTACCACTCATCTCACAGAATGACCAAAACAAACAAACAAACAAAACGAACACAAAACCAACCCTCTCTCCCCTCTCCTCCTTTGGCAAAACCAAAAGCCAACCCCTGTCCCCCAAATCAAAAAAACTCTCACAACAAAACCCAAGCCAAGGGTCGGCCGGGATGCTGAGTAACTGGATCTCTCTTACATCGCTGTGAAAATGCAAAACGGTGCTGTCAGTTTGGAAAACCATTTGGCAGTTTCTTACACACTTAACCGTGTATTTACCATACGAACCAGTAACCTCAATCCTGAGTATTTACTCAAGAGAAATAGGAATTCATGTTCATACAGAAATCTGTGTGAGTTTGGGTTTTTTTTTTTAAGTGGGGAGGTAATTAGGTTTATTTATTAATTTATTTAATGGAGGTACTGGGGATTGAACCCAGGCCCGTGTGCATGCTAGGCATACACTGTACCACTGAGCTATACCTTCCATGTGTATGTGAATGTTTATAGCAGTTTTACTTACAGTCATCAAAAACTTGAAATAATCTAAATGTCCTTCAGTGGGGCGATGGATCACCAAATTGTGATATGTCCATAGCAGAGACAAGTACTCTGCGATGAGAAGGAATGGATACACACAGTTGATACACACAACTAAAAGAATGAATCCCAAGTCCATTTTGCCACATGAAAAGAGCCAGACACAAAAGACTCCATACTGTATAATTCAGTGATGACGTCCTGGAAGGTGCAAAACGATAGGGATGGGGAGCGGATGAGTGGTTGCTAGGGACTGGAAATTGGCAGAGGGGTCAACGCCTTAAAGGAGAAGCATAAGGGAACTTTTCAGAGTGATGGGACTATTCTCTACCTTGGCTGTGTTGACTACATGATTCTGAGCATTTGTCAAACTCGTCGATCTTCACACACACGCAAAACAAATGCCTGCTCCTTATATATCAATTAAGAAAAAGAAATTCTGTAGTCAAATGGGCAGAAGTTATACAAAGGCATCTCCCGAAAAGGAAATCCAGCTGGTCCTCTGCGTATGAAAGGATCGCAACCAAACTTGTAATTAATTAAATTGTTTAAAACAGTGGCATGTCATTTTCATCTGTCAGACTGACAATGATTAACAGTTTGACAACACACAGCGTGAGTGACTGGGGAAACTGAAATTCCCATACTTAGAGTGGAAATTTAAATTAATGCAACCTCTTTGCAAGACAAGGAGGCAATAGCCACCAAAATTTAAAACACTCATCCTTTGACCTAACATTTTCATTTTTATAAACTTATCCTAGAGTACTTGCCCACGTATGCAAAAATGCGTGTACAAGTATTCTTATTACAATACTGTTTGTAAAGCCAGAAAATGAAAAACAAACCTACCCCTGTCCGTCAGGGTCACATCATCTCAGTGGAAGACATCAAAGGAAAACGGAAAGGGCTGATGGAGAAAACCTTCCAAGATAGAGTAGGTTTCAAAAGGAAGATGCGGGATCGTGAGGATTGTTCAGGTCCCATTTCGCATAAAAACACAGCGCACACTTACTTGTTTACTGAGACAGGTTTGGGGGCGAGATATACAGGAAGCTAGTGAGGGCAGTTTTCTCTGGAGAGCAGGTCTAGGAGCCCAAGTGAGAAAGGAACTCCCTTTTGTGACGTTTGGTTCGTTTCTTGGGCTGGGCAAGTCCTTTTATTAGTTTATTATGGGCTGGGGCCGCCAAAACAAAACGCTGCAGCCTGAAGCAGCAGACGTCTATTACCGCTCGGTTCTGGAGGATGGAAGTTCACGGTCAGGGTGTGAGCAGCTCTGGTCTCTCCCAAGGCTTCTCTCCTTTGCTGGCAGATGGCTGACTGTCCCGCCCTCAGGCAGCCTTTCCTCTGTGTCTGTGCCTACCTGGTGTCTCTTGGTGTATCTAATTTCCTCTTCTAATAAGGACATTGGTCAGTTTGGGTTAAGCCACCCTAAAGGGCTCATGTTAACTAAGACACCTCTCTTAAAGACCCTGTCCCCAAATACAGTCACATTCTGAGGTACTGGGAGTTAGGACTTCCACATAGGAATCTGGGGGGACATAATTCATAACAATGCTAAAGCAGTGCATGATTGTTACAGGAAACCCAGAATATACAAGCAAGAATAAAGAAAAATTGGATTCAAGCTCAATTTTTCACTCTTGTGAATAACCCTGAAATGAGTATAATAATACTTAATACTCTTTCCATATACGTGTCTATTTTCTGCAAAGAGATTTCCAGAGATAAGCAACTAGAGGGTATAAATATTTTGAAAGCTCCAGGCACCCATTACCAAGTTGACTCCAGGAAACGTCCTACTTAAAACTCTGCTCAATTATGGACCCGAGGAAGAATGGAAAGAATCTGGAGTGCTGTCCTGCTGTTTGGTGGTGGTGGTTGCTTAAACACAAAAGCAACCAGGGGTTGAAAGTTGAAATACTGAGAGTAGAATTAGGGCCATCGGGGACTATGGTTAAGACATTGGTTATCATTCTCATTCGACCTCAACTTTTAATAAAATGAATGACATAAAAATAACAGTTTGTCGCTTTGAAAGGAGCAATAAAAAACCATGTAATGGCTGCTCTGCCATCAGTGGGCAGACGCCTTGCCCATAGGTTCCCGCCCACTTAAGGAGTGATGATTTATTGAGTTTATATGACTTTCTATTGCTATACATCAATTAGTAATTTTAATAATTTATGTTTTAATAATTTTATTTTATAAGTTTAATAATTATATTTCTTAATTTTAATTTTCAATAATTATATTTCTTCATTATGTTTGTTAACTATTCACCTTGTTATTTTAATTTGTCATCAACCTTTCCAACTGGGGAATATCCAAGCTCACAAGCTCCCCTTGGTAAGCATCTCTGAAAGTCTCTGTAACTAAACCTGCCTCCAAATGTACGTGACTTTTGTCGCCTGGGATATTTTAAAGCTCACTAATAAAGGCTGCTGCCTCTGTGTCTCACTGACCTTGAGGGACGTAATATAATGTGGCTTCGTCGTTAACTAAAGGGGCTTCAACGTTTCCTTGGTGTGGTGGGCATGAAAATGTGCCGCTCAGGGTTCCTGCTGGCCAGTTGCCTGCTTTTTTTTTTTAAATAAAGTTGTATCAGAATATAGCCCTGCCCATCTGTTGACATATTGTCTGTGGCTGTTTTCACACAACGGTAGACTTGAGTAGTTGCCACACAGAGTACATGACTCACAAAGCCCAAAATATTTACTACCTTGTCCTTTATAAAAAAAAAAAATGCTTGCTGACTCTTCATCTAGATTTAAGAAAGTGGTGGAGAAAATCTTTAATAATGCAGATTAAACTTAGAAGGATGTCCTGTCTTCTGTAGCTGTTACACTGTGAATCACACACACACAAAAGAAGTGGAAATGCTGTTTCAGCACTAGACAGCCGTCATCCTTAGCGATCTGACTTTGCTGAACTGAATAGTAATTAAGCATTTATTCATTGTCTGATTTGGTCAAATCATGGCCGAAGGGCAATCATAGGTTGGCTATAGATACAAAAGGTTGGCAAAACCAGCAGAAGGATGCTGTGAGACTCAGTTGGCTATATAGAGTTTGTAATAAAGAGCATTATATGTGTTCTTATTATTTGTAAAGTGTGTTACACATCTTTATACCAGTAAAATTTATAATAAACTTACATATGTATATATGGGTGTACATTTTTTCCCCACAGAAAACCAGTTAGACGTTTACGAGCACGCCGCAACTTGCTTCCCATTTTTCCCTTACAGGTGCTTCCCCCAATGAATCTCAC